ACACTAACGAGTTGTTTACTTCACTGCCATTATAACACGCCGTGACATTTTCCTGTTCTTGGTACAATCATATTTGTTATTATTTTATGGGAATAATACCGTAGACTATCAAAAAGATGCCTGCGTTGTACTTAAATTGGCTGGGAACATCGCATCCTTTTGAGATTATACCAAGGGCAATTGACAGTGGCAGTCTGTGTTTGCCATATTTTACACCGTTTTATGTCATCTGTTTACGCCGGCACTTAAAGTATTCAAGCCAAAAGCAGATGAACGTCAGAGGTTTTATTCATTGTGTTGTCCGCAATTGTGTGTACCTGCTTTTTCTATCTCGTGCTCATATTCAGCTTTTCATAATGTCTATGTTCTACCCCAGATCTTATGTGCAGTAAGTTTGAAGTTTTCCCAGAGTCAGGACTAGGATTGCCCCCTGGTAGCAGTCGTGAGCTTGTAATATAATCAGCAATGATATTGCTCGAAATCCGTGATACAAAACATACAATGTCGGCAAATACTTGCACCCTTATCCCTATTTATTATGTTCGCTCTGCGGACATCTCTCTGATAATTCTGAAGCATACGGCATTTGCTACCCAACGTGCAGATCATAAAATACTAAAAATCTATGCAGTGTTGTCCCTTTGACCGAAATCTGGTCTTTGCTGAAACCACAGAATGAATCTCCAAAATCGTATTCCTCAGTGTCTGCTGAGACTATAGCTACGTAACAGTCTAATATTACCATAACGGCATCAACTGCGAGCTTTTGGTGCATTCCACTGCATTAAATAAACATATCAGAGATGTCGTTCAAGGGGTTGTGTTGTGACTCCTGATGTTCATGCATAACAGGAATCATATGTGTAAGAATAAAAAGCATAGAGATTTTTCACTAATGAGGATCCAAGTGTGCCACATATCTGTTCACTTCAGTTGCATACAACGATCCATAAAGCACCGTAGTGTAGGTCCATCAAACACGATAACTGGGTTGAAATCATGTTAAGGAAACTGCATGCAAACATTTTTCCGGTAATTTGCCCACGCGCCGTACACCAGGAGACTCCAGCACTCAAAATGGTGCTTCATCTCAGTTGCATCTCCCTTCCGAGATCTGAGCACTTGCAGATGTAGGAACGTTAGTTTTCCTGGCGCACCGTACATCAACTAGGAAAAGTAAATAGTATATTCTCTAACCCAAAGAAGGATAAGATTATTTACAGTTGATGTGACGACGCGGTGGGTGCTGCTTGATCCATCATAGCCACCACTGCATACTACCGTAAAAGCTATAGGTAACTGAAAGCTATTCAACATGCTGTATTTCACTTCAGTGATTGGCTCGAAGTGAGTTAACATGATCTACTTATGATCTGTCTTGTTTTGCTTCGCAAAACCAAAATCCAAGCGTCAGCTCCGTTCGTTCTTGGGAGTGGTGACATATAATTCAAAGTTTGTACCCCAGTTCGCAGAGAAGGTCAGCCCGTTGTTAAAGCTGCTTCGCAAGGACGTGCCGTTCGTGTGGACAGCTGAAGTGGATCAAGCCTTTGACCATCTAAAGGCATGCATAGCAGAAGCCCCGACATGTCTACGGCTACCCAATCCTGGTGAGAGGTTCACTGTGGCTGTCGACGCAAGCAACGTGGCAATCGGTGCGGTTTTGTCTCAACCGGCTGGGGTGGTGGAGTACACGAGCAGAGTGCTGACGGGGGCGGAACAGAAGTATTCAACAACGGAGAAAGAATGCTTGGCCATCGTGTGGGCGTTAGAGAAGTGGAGAACTTACTTACTGGCGAATGAATTCCGGGTCGTCACTGACCACAAACCGCTCTCGTGGTTGATAACGGCGAAAGACCAGCGGGGACGGCTTGCGCGATGGGCCTACCGATTGCAGGAATTCAACTTCATCATTGAGCACGTGGATGGGACGCAAAATGTATTGCCATATATGTTGTCACGCCCGTGTTTGGACGACTTCATGCCCGACAATGCCATACCGGTGCGTGCGTTCACGATGGGGGAGAGGAACCTGCTGGGAGATCAAAGTACAGATGAATTGGTGAATGTGTTGTGCTCTCACTTACGGGCTGGAGGCTACATCGGAGGAGGTGGAGGAACTCCTCAAGATCTGGGACAGGTTGAAGGTCGAAAACGATAACGTGGTGGTGGCGATAGACGGACGGAAAGTGCCTTTTGTTCCACCAAATCAGCGAGAACGTGTGATGCGCATAACTCATGATGGCGCCCATATGGGATTCGAGTGGGTCTTTGAATTGCTGCGGAGGCGAGTGTTTTGGCCAACCATGAGGAAGGACGTCGCGGCATACATTCGGGGGTGCCCAAACTGCCAAACGAGTCGGGAGATGGAGTCCCCGAGACCGCCGGTGCGATCGATGGAGGTTGGTGAGCCACTTCAGTGTTGGGGACTGGACGTCTTTGGGCCCTTACCAGTGAGTTGAACAGGAAACAGATACATTCTAGTGATGATTGACCACTTCACTCGATGGGTGGAAGCCATACCAATAAAGGCCAAACAGGCGAGACATTGTCGCAAGTATTCGAATTCAATGTGCCTGCAAGGTATGGGATCCCACAGTGTATCATCACGGACCAAGGGCCCTGCTTCGAGTCAAGAGCGTTTAAGTCAGTGTTGGACAAGTGGGGCATCCAGAGACGGCGAACTTCACCGTACCACCCACAAACCAACGGGATGACCGAGCGGTTCAACCGGACATTGAAGACGTGGATATACTGCACGAAGTTGGCATGGGAAGATGCTTTGCCTCAGGTTCTGATCGCGTATCGGACCAGCATGCAATCAACCACCAAGGTCTCGCCATTCGAATTACTGTTCGGCAGAGTACCACGGATTGCGCTCGATACTTGCCTACCGAACCAGGGTGAGTGGAAACATCCAGCTGAGCAACAAGAGCGACTGCGATGGAAAGCCAGAAGCGAAACCAAAGCTCGACAAGCGCGGAATAAGCGAAATTACGACGCTAGGCATGAGGCTCACAAGTGAAGGCCATTCAGGATTGGAGAACGGGTCAAGTTACGGAACAACGATCGGCCGGATCATGACGGGCCGGGCGCAAGCAAGTTCAGAGAACGGTGGAAAGGCCCCTACACCATTATCGACCAGAAAGCGGGCAACTTCTTAATCGACTGCGGAGGAATGAAACGTTGGGTGAATGCTGCTCTCCTGCGATTATGGTACGAGAGGAAGAAAGGTCCTCGAGGAGGGGCGGGTGTAGAGGGGCCGCTTCCAAGAATGGCTCTGGGGAGCTCTTCGGAGCTAGCTGAGAGCGGATCGCGAAAGACGGCTAGCGACGAGCCTGGGCCCGGAACTACGGAGCGGGAATATGTGGACAGCGCAATAAATCAGACAAATACGCCGCTAGCGCAGCCCACAGGACCGAGGCCGAGCCGATTGACACAGCCCAGAACAAGCAAGTCGAGAGCTCTCGAACGACTCCTGGCCGATCCAAATCGGGTACAGAGAAGCGGAGATCGAGGCGAAAACAAGAAGGCGGGACTTCCAAGTCAGAGCTCCCGAGGCGAAAGGACTGGCTCGCCTCTAACATCCGTACCTGTGTTGCGTGGTGGGACGGAAATCTAGTCGATATTCGATGGCGCGCGTGAGACCCGGATGTGCCCATTTTCGGTGTGCAATAAACGTCTACCCCCCTGTCTTGTCGTTTTCGCTACGATAATAGTTGAAACCCATGTTGACAAACACTTCAACCATTTGCTGGCGGTTAACATTTTAGCCATCTAACCGTTTGCGGCATAAACAAAACAATTTCACTACGTATATTCACATGAAACGCTTTGGTTGTATTTTTCTTCCACAATGTATTTTTCAACCTTAACAATATGTATGCCAAATTATCACCTTAGATATAATTTACTTAACAAACTTGTTGCAACCCATTATCGCAGCTAATATTTATTCCATTAAATAATGAAGGGAAACACCTTAACTTGTCTACTAATAATTCTGACTATGTTTAGCGTACAAACCTAAAGTGTTCCTTGTAGTAAAGTTCATGTTTTGTCTTAAATTTCATCCACTAATTATTAGTTGGCTAGTCAAGTGAAGTCTTACTTGGGGTTACACACCCGTATGGGTATTTTATCATTATTTTCACAGGATAACGCAGAATAATTAAACAAAGTATCAACTTTGAAACCACCATTGAAGGCAGTAATGGAACATTTACATTTTCAAACAAGTATAGGGTCATGTAAATAAATAAACCATTTTCGTAGCAGACAGAACTGCTTAACTATAATCTTTGTAGAATACGGTACTATTGAATGTGAAAGGTGCAGTAAAGGGACTTTGTTACGGACGTTCTGACGTTTCAAACGTGCCATCATTTCCCTCCCTACATGTTTTGAGATTTGCCTAAACAATGTTTTAGAGCAAAAGCTCCACGTCCACGTGAAACCCGCTCTGATCATTTCCGCTGTTCACTCTCCACTCAGTGCCATTAGCCAGCCAGACTTTGTGTTTGACTCAAACCAAGGTGATGTCCTTGCAGGCTTCGCCGTCGCACACCTGAGTGGAGTGACTGAATGGGTTTCGATATATCTCCCTCAATTTTACATGTGACTAGTATGCGTTGGTACGCTGGTCTTTTACGTGGATTGTTTCTGACTATTGACACTTGAGAAAAGATTTTGTACACGTTTGGTCTGGACAAATTTGAAGTTAAAATTTCATTTGCTGTTCTAATGCATTGTAAAAATAGCACCATGGTTATTCACAGCATTGTTTTCTCAATTCAACCGGGGATACTTTACAAGTCGATCAAAGCCAAGAGAGCATCGTAGATAATATGCATCGTCAAACGGAACGACCCCACTAAATCATTTGTGTGTTTCAGTCAACACAACGGTTTTTATTTTGTTAAACTAGCAGATTATCAATATTAGCTAACAAAATGATATTAGTAAATGTATCGTATACTAACATGTAGTACACATTGACTTACTAAATATTTCGGAGGATACATGCGCCACCAAATGACAAATAATTGTTAACAACAGAGGCATCGATATGATTTTGTTCAATTAACGTTGAATTACTCTAATGGGTATGCGGGTGTAGTGTGCTAGATATAATATTTGCGACCGTGAGATTCCGTTCACCAATTGGTTGACAAAAGAACTCACACTGGTGTGTAGCAATTGGTTGAGGCAGCTTTCCGAACGATTCGCACTCGGCTTGGTATTATTCACAGTCATTACCACAGATATAATGTAGTGCTGCGCATACCAATTTAGCTGTAAGCAAAATGTAACATCATTAGATGGAGCAAAGTAGAGAAAGACAGAATTGGAGAATGTGGTGTGCATTAACCTATATTGATAAATTTATGTCATTAGTTGTAGTGAAACTTAACGTCGAACCCCACCACCGCTGACTGATCACTGGTTTTCCGTTAGAACGCTGCGCATCAATAATACACAGGAACAGAAGGCTCAGTGGAACGTCTTATGGCTTCAGGATTTCCAATAGCCCAAGAACAAAACTATTAGCGCTCAATTGACGAACGGTCGGCTTTAAACATAAAACAAACTTTTGTCCACCCACACAATCCTAACATCAATAACACTATCATGTTTGAACACTAAAGATCAAGGTCCTTTTAGTAAGCATGCTGAATTTAGAGAACGCCAGGTGTCACAACTGCGAGATCTCATTATGATTACAGAGAACTAGTTAAGCTTTCGGACCCCATATTTTAGGAGAATTTACCTGGTATGTCGCTGCTTCGAAATGCTGGAGCTGGAAGTGGTGCTGGCGTAATTCTGTATTACAGTGCATTACAGTGTAATACAATGTAAACTTATTATCACCAATAGACCTATGCAACTGACTCGCTTTTGAGCCGACTATGGTTGAGGAACAAAGACACACGTCTTATAGCCGTGATTTGCCGTCCAACAAACTCTAAGTTGGAAATGGGCTCCAAACTGAACCACCTTCTTCACGGAGTTTTGAGAAGACAGTCACATTCTCATCCCAGGCGAGTTTAATGTGTATGATTTGGAAATAGCAGCGATTGACAGCATGCAATTTACTGCTTTCTTACAAGAGGTAATTTCCAGATACCCTCTATACACGCACGTTACCATTCCCACCAGATTTCGACCTGCTAACAAGCCGTCGATAATTGGCCTTGTGCTCACTAACGAAAAACGCAAATCTTTTGATTTTGTAGACTTATCCCGACAGTCTTGCGGGACTTGTTATGTGACTGCACTAGTACCCAGCATTAAGCTGTAAGGAATCAGTACACGTTGGAACGAATAGCAAAGTAGGCGGAGCTTTCATGAATCATGGGAATATTCACAGTTGTTGCTAAATTCATCTGATGTATTCGGAGGCATTACACGCAGCGTCGTTTTAGAGTACGGGCTACGAACTCATTTTTATGAAATACGAAGTAACAATTATACCTTCCACGTAGCAGTACGTAAGGGAACTATAATGGAGATTGAGGCATTTGGTATCATATTGCCGTCCACTGAAAACACACACCACAAGCTGCAATAATTGTGGTAGTGAATTCTTTTGCGGTTTATGAGCGGCCGCTACGCAACATTATAAATTCGACTGTGCATCGCTGTGTGAAAAACTGACTGCATAATCGAAGGTTAGTGCAAATGGAACAAGGAACAACGAAAAATGACTTGTACCGTGTTACAAAGCAGCCGCATGACAATTCCCTTAGGATGGTCGGGGTACAACAATAAAAACAAAATATGTGACTTATCTGTTTAAGCGTTTAGCTAACAGATACGCTGCTGAATAATGACAGTGCAAATGGGAATTGAATGTAAAAGAGGAGGCAACATGGGGGCACATAGGATTGTTGTACTCAGAGAGGAAAGTAGAAACAAGAATACTTAATTCTGTACCGCCTCCTCAGGTTCAGGTGACATGTTAATCCGCTTTGAAGTGATAATTAATATAGTCCAAAGTAGCAAAGTTCAGATAAAGGTATTGTGGGCCAGGAGAATGGTCCAATCGTTTTTTGAAAATATCCAATATGGAGGAGAAAACAACTGAGTTTAAAAACAGTTCCAGTGTTGGCAAACCCAAAGATAAAAAGCGCCCCCGGCATTCCAGACTGTCATACAGTGCACAAAATTTCACAGGGTTATCTCTGAGATTATTGTTTAACTGTTTTAATAAGTGAAAGCATACGTGATTAGGGTCACACGATAAGTGGTAGAATAATGTGTGATCGCTGCACAGCCTTCTATAGCGGACACTGAATACTTTCAGTGACTTCAGCCTTTGATGCTAGAAGAGATTTCGTAGGCATTTGGCGTTAATTGTGCTCTGCGTTGTGGCCTCTCTAGCACTTCTAAGTCGCGCTACCATCAATGTTTCCAAGCTTGGATGGCGTATTCAACCTGGGGGGGCAGTTAAGTATTGTGCATAAAAGCGAAGATGAATGGCTCGAATATACCAAATAGTCTCTGCAGCAATCCGACGTGCTGTTTGACTCTCTGCGCATCCGTCTCTGACTGGTTTGAGCAGCTTATTTTTCGATAGAAGGAGGTGGTTCAGCCCCTGCACATCTAATGTAAATCCCGAAAAGGGATGCAGATTTTAGGCTTCAGAATTGATCTTAATAACGCGGGACCCGGGTTCAAAATAAACTGTCTGAACTGCGCGGGCTTTTCGGTTTCCCATACGTTCCAAACTGCGACAAAATATGTGCACGTCCATGGGCTATGGACCATAATTCGCATCAATAAGTTTTGCAATTCAACCACTTTTTCATATGTCAGTCGGCACGGTTTCTTCGATGGATCTGATTTCCATAACCGTAGTAACCTACGCGTTACTCCGCGGCATACTGCATTCACGTAACCTATAGGAAAGGCGGTTATCATATCAATTGGAAGTAATTCAAATGGGGACTTCTCTGAAGCACACGATGACCTGAGAGACGCATTCGTTCGCAGTCCTTAAACAGTGGCTGTGAATGTAACTCTAACATGCAGGTAAACCCCGTGCTGTACACACTTGCTGCAGCTCCCATTTCCTGAGTGGGACTTGGTTCCCTTCACGAAGGAACAAGAGGGTGCGTCGCAAACCACAGCTTCCAGCTCAACTTTGTTACCAAGCGCCTCCTCTTCCAGGATGACGTATCGCGTACGTAGTTGGGACATTTCAGTTAGAACAGGGGACATCAAATCGTGAACCCTGGACGGCTTCTGTGTGTTATTGGAAAATCCAACGACGAAGGGCTCAGACACGAAAGGGTCACGTGCACGGCACAACATTGGCCAAATCTGCATTCGCAATGACTTGAAAGGGGTAAAACCATCGCTATGCATCTGCAGCTTAACGATATATGTTGTCTGCTTGTGGTCGCCATCCAGCTCAATGGATAATCCTCGTTTCAACCCAACATGACCCGGGTAAGTAGCAACTGTGTCCATTTCTCACGGAATGCGCACTAGAGTTAGATAATCCAGAGGCAATCTAATTACGCTTGACGTAAATATTTGTCAACTCCCTACCCATCCACGAAATGGCCATAACGAAGTGAAGAGCTCCGAATGAATGGTAAGCAAGTAACATTATCCCGTAGCGAAAAATGACCGAACCCAATTACTCTAGCCTTAGTGATTGTCAGCAATGAATAGAGATTTGTCTAATCGAGAATCTACCTTCAGAAGTCAACAGGCGAGCTCCGGGTAAGAAGTAGGTAAAAGAGATATTGTTAGGCGAACTGTTCCCAATTGTTCTGGCCTCCGGAAACATGTATCCTTGAAAACTACAAATAGTCTGTCCGGTCAGTAAGTTGTAACAACGGCGGATAATCTGCCACTAATATCCAGGTAAATGGACTTTGTGACTCCTATTGTAATAGCGTCACAACGATGGACGATTCATCGGGTGCTTGCCGCTGCATCTGTGACAGTCTGGGGGAAAATGGCAACGAATAAAGACAGCCACACAGATAGAAGAAAGAGATTCATCCGGAAAGCAGTCGAGCACATCAGTAATTTCAACAGCGATTAAACTATTGTATCCCTATACAATGTAGTTGTTATTTAAATATATCATATATATATGTGTTCCACAAAAGTGACGAAAAAAACGAGAAGCGAGCAGACCACGGATCAGCAGAATGGAAGAGTATTCCAAAATAGGGATGAAGAATAAGGGACAAGGAGAGTTTATGGTGTCTTAAAGTCCAAATCCCCAATCAGTGGGACAACACAGGGAGACGAACAAGAGTTGCTGTATATGGAAAAATGATATTGCTCAGAAGCAGTGAGAGCGACACGTTGCTTCAGTCCTAAATTGGTAGGATTGCAAGAAGGCAGTGGCAGACGGACACTAGAAAGTTAACGACAACTGAATAAGGAATACAAACAGACAGGGCGGCAAGGAAACACAGGGTTGGGAAGGAAACAATTCTACTGAGGAAAAGTGGAAAAGCCAAAGACGTTCTCTGGTTAATGTGGACTGACGGTTGCGTCTGCCGATCCTCCATCAGTACAGTTTCAGTAGTCAGAAAGCAGGAGACTATTTACACGAGATTAAAATTACAATTCATGGAGCTTAAGCCGTATTAATATCCTCAGAATACTAACACAGATAGTCGACCGAAATAGGCATGTTAAGCATGAAAAGTGGATATACTTAAAAGGATGAATCCAGTCCGTCAATTTATTTGACGGTAGTGTTACAAAGCATTTTGGGTAGGCAGAGCTTAAATTATTTAGATCACAGAAGACTGGAAGAGGTCAGGAAGCAGCAGACCATTTAGTAGGGACCAGATATATCAGCGCATCGATGTTAGGACGTCTAATTTATGTGGGAATAATAGTATTGTGTCATCAGAAAGGAAATAACTCGAATTGAAAGTGTCCAGATGAGTAGGGGGGCAACATGTTGTGCAAGGCTCTCAGAATGAGTACAACTGAGTGCTGGGTCTGCAGAGCCTAGATTCAGCTGCCCAAAATTTCCGCAACGTTGGGGACATTTAATAAACGTTTACTGGCCGAGGAGAAATCCACTGCAGTTTCTGACGCTCTGACAA